CTGTAATAGAGTCTAATCACAGTGGATTACAGAAGGCTGATAGTATTAGCTTGCCTGCAACTTGTCCTGCAGCTTGCCTCTGACACCAGGTTTGACTTTGTCTGAGCAGCAGGGGAAAGTTTTCCTGATGCAGCCCCTGAGACTCTGATCTCTAAAGCCATAGATGAGCGGACTGAGAAAGCGTGGAGTAAGGATGAAACAGAAAAAGTTAAAAAAGGCAATGTCCTCTGGCAACCAGTTGGCATGCAGCACTATGAGAGTTTCAGTGATCGGATAAGTGAAGGCCAACACACATAGCAGCAGCTGAAAGCCGTGTAGCAGCACAGTGTGCATGGCTTTGTTCACAGACACTTTATCTTGTCTCATTTTCCTGGTTTCCAGCAGGATTCTCACATATGTAAAGATGATGACAACAGCTACTACTGCAAAGAAGAGAATATTTTCAGCAGCACGGAACATATCCTGGATTGGAGATGAGTTGACTATGTTAGATTTGCAAAGCACAGGGGTAGAGAGGATATCCACAGCAGGGTCAATCTCCCCGATGGAGTAGTGAATCACAGGGAAGATACAGCTGATGAGCCACAGGGACAGAATAATGATCCAGATACGGTCTGAGCGCCAGGCGGCCGGGCGCTGCAGGGGATAGAAGATGGCAACATAACGCTCCAGTGACATTGTGGCCAGAATTAAAGGCGTGTTCTGGAAAGTGGCGCTTGAAACAAACAACAGAGGAACACATAGGATAAAAGCAAATTTTACTCTGCCCATGACAAAGAGGAAGAGCAGCACAGAGAACAAAAGCTGGACAGTGTCATTGATCAGCATGTAGGCAAACAGGATGTAACGTGATGTGTCCAGGAACTGCCTGTGAGATGCAAAGATGTGCAGCATGACAATAATACAGCAGAAGAAGACACAGAAGGAGGGGACCACCACACACACCTTGATGATCACAGACAGGCTTCTGCTGGAAGTTGCATTGCCTGGATATTCAGTCAGATTCTGCATTTTGCAGCTATGCACTGAAGCAAACCTGTGAAAGATTCAATGAGTGAAAAGTCCATACACACACTAAAACACATCCTCAAAATGCTGAATAACTGACAGTAAAACAACACACATATACTTTTCTGTCTTTCCTCATCTACCCTTTAAAGCAGACTATTTGCACTGTGGCTGAATACAAATCCAACATTCAGAATACAAGAGTAACAGTTACCTAAAAATGTCTTCATCAGTCTTCATCTGTTCTTCTTATCAATGAACAAAATCTGTGGGATGTCCTTCCCCTTATCTTAAGTGTTCGGCCCAGTTCAGATCTGTTTGACTTGCCCGATTCCTCCAGAGATACATTACTTACATGATATCATCATACTGCATGATGTTTCTCATTAACTGATATTTCAGTGGGGAGATGAGTTAGATACATTATATAATTATATGTGTAACACACCTGTTAAGCAGACAACCAGTTCTCAATGTGAGGCATCAAAATAACCTGTTTTGATCGAAATGGCTGAGACAAAAATCAACTAATAACAAAGTTTATATGACAACAGTAACAATAATTACAAGTCATTTAAAGTATAAAAATATGATTGAGTAATGTGTGTGAATGTGTGCAGGTCTTTATGAGAAGGACATTGGTTTACAGTCTCAGTCCTCAACAGTAGCTCTGACTGGTTACATGTCACTATATTAGGAGGGATAGCAACAAACAAATCATTAAACTGGGATTCATTACAAAAACTAGAGAGAATGGAGACATCAGAATATAAATAAAATGTAGGTCTGGGTCAACATCAAAATTGTATGAGTGAGTTATAAAAAGGATCATAGGACCTGGCCTTCAGGATTAGATTTGTTGGGTGTGGTTAAGTAATCAAGGAACTGTATAGATGCCTAACGGTGGAGACTAATAAGACAAAGTCTGAGCGCTGGCCTTCGTTTGTTGGGATGTGTTTTGAGGATATTGGACGGACAGTCACCTTGTCGTGTCTCAAATACACAACGGAACCTCTCTCTTGAGCTCCCGTCACTGCTGGAAGTAGTTCTTTCCTTCTTCGCCGGACAGCTTCTGGGAAGTCCTCATTCATAAAGATGCCTGAACCATTTAGATTTTTCGCTTTATCCAGAACAGCAAGTTTGTCCTTTAATCGCCAGAATCTTACTATGATGGGTCGTGACTTATGGGTTTCCCAGATCTATGAGCCCAACCCAACTCTATTTTCAGATATCCCAGCTGTAGTTTTTCTTATCATGGCACCTTTACTAGCCCTCCAGATAATTTGTTGTGTCTGAAACTGAGGTCACACTTTTGCAGATAGTGCCCAAATATGTCTTGGTTTCATTGCAGTTCTTGGACCAAGTTTAAAATGAGACTTTTAAATCATCAAGTTCCTTCTGAGTCATCTCTAGACTCACAGTGAGATCATAGACTTGCTTTGACAGATCATCAGTCCTCTTGTTTGAAGAATTAACTATGATCTGTTCACAGGGTTTGAAGCTTTTTTTCCTGTTGTTCAAGCAAGTTTCTTTGGAAATCTTTGTGCTGTTCTAACAGTTCACATACTTGAGTCATGGTGACATGTTCCTCAGTGTGGTTGTTGGAGACTTTGGGTGTCATGGTTTAGGCCCAAAGTTCAGCAGTATAAAGTCATAAACCTCCACATGATGGTAATAATGTCCTCAGTTTTGCTGTAGAGAGTTGGTAAGACTCTTCTTAATTCACTCGGCATTAGACACTACTTTTCACAGACGGTATATGGACCATTTCTATTAGTCACACATCTGTTAACTACGTTAATATGGACCTATGTAGGTTCTATTGTTGTTGTCTTTTGCATATTGTTGGACATTATTGACACTTTTGGTCATGACAAAGAGTTGTTGTTGATTTTTACAAAGTTTCTCATGTATTTTGATTTTTTGATATTGCATTTTGTGCTTGATGATTTTCTATCTTTCTATTATACTTAGACTATTTTTCTATTATATCTAGACTATTCGATGTATTATTTATGAATGGTCTGTATTTGTATCTTTGTATTGTTGTCAGTCGGAACCAGCTGGCTTCAGTTAAAAGGGTGACACACCCACAAACCATTTAATGCTGAGGACAGCTATGAGCTGAAACGCGTCCGTTTATCTGCTGTTGTGCAGTTTATTAAATTAAAAGTGTTACACTTATAAGTGAGTGCTGTCAGGTTTTGTACTTTTCTGTGATGTTTTTGGACCGGCACCCTATTACTTTTTTGAGACTTTTTGAGTGAGCACGCCAAGTCTGCTGATTAACATTTTATAATCCCATATTCTTGTAAAATTATACAGTTCATATTTGGCCCCCCAGCCTCAAGGTGACTGTTCATGCTGACGACCAGCTTTCTCTCCATTTATTCCACATTAATAACCTCAGTTGGCACAGTGTTCACCATTACAGGATGCCAGGTTCCAACCTTTTTATTCTGTATGCCACCACATGAATAACTGCCAGACCATAATGTTGACAATACATGACATGAGTAATGAGTAATAAGTAACCTACTCAGTCGCTGTATAGAAGGTTTTGCAGTGAATTCTACTATCCACTCATATATTGATGTGAGTCAATGGCTCAAGAGAATTTGATGTAAGTACATTTAATCAAGCACTGTAAAGTACAATTCTAAATGAAAAACATGCAGCTTATTTTCACTCTTTGCTTCTACTCTGTAACATTTACCTAATGTCTATTTAATTAGCAGATTCACATTTTACACACATCTGATGAGGTTATAATACATTTATTTATTTATTTTCTGATTTAACATGCCCAAATCATATAAAGTAGCTAAAAGATAGTTCCAAACATTTAAATTCTGCTTACACAGTATCACAGAAATATAAATATATGAATATGTTATTTATGAATGAATCAGATAACATAAATGATAGTTTATTTTCCTTATAATGACACTTTCACTCATGTAACGTTGGACCACAGGATGTACACGGTAGTATCCATGGATCAGGGTTGGCCCTAGACTTATGGGCCCTGAGTGTTGCCACTTCACATGTCACTGAACCATATTGTGTATTGTAATAATTATCTTAAGCACATGTAATGTACAGATACGCATGTAAAGATTAAAGTTGGACCTGTTAGCAGCAACACTATCTTAAAATCGACTACAGTAAATGCAGTAGTTGTCTTTTACCCCCTGACACAATAAACAGTTCCTCTCAGGGCCTTTTACTTGATCTGGTTAAAGTCTGATGCAGATTTTAGTGACATGTCCACAATGGAAAGACCTGTGTGGCTGATGTAGAAAGAAAGGATATGATATGATCAAAAATATATGATACACAAGGCAACTTTATAGTGTAGACCATGCATTTCTTACAAATAACTAATAATTTTGTGCAAGGTTTGCTACAGTGATCAAATAAGAAAGAAACACAAAAAGGAGCACATGTAAATAAGATGGTAATATGAAATTGTCAAAGAAAACAGCTAAATGTCTATTAACAGGTAAAATGTATACAATTTACTACAAAAATATAAGGAAATAGTTAAGTCTTATTTTAATCAAATACATTTTTATCTACATTTGATTATTAATTTACTGCTTTAAACCCAGTTTCTTATTAAACAAGCTGCATTTTGAGCTGTGATTCATGCAAATAAATGATGGAAAATGATTATACCATGATGTAATTTATGCACCACTTTTATTTAATTTATTTGCATTTATTTAAAGTGGATGATTGGGGTTCATCATTTGCTCTTTGACAAAAAAAAAAAAAGTTGCATGCATTACTGACTTTAGAGTTAGTGCGACACCTGCAGGTGGATTTTCTGTACACCAACTAAACTACCATTTTAAAGCTCCACTGTAAAGACAATTTGTCATCAGAGTGACTTCATTGGTGTGGTGAATCTCATTAAAAAGGTAAATAAGACAGAGCAAACTGTAAATTACTGCTGTACAGGGTATATATTATTATAATGTATATGTTCAAGAGGGGTCAGGGACATCTGGCTTATGGGTTGTATGTGGCCTGTGAGACTGTTTGATCCAGCCCACCAGGCAATTACCTTTTTTCTGTTATAAAAGAAAACAACATGAAATAGCAGACAAACACATCCTTCTTGGTGGTCCCCTCCACTGTGCACCTGTGAATTTTGTATATGTCTATGCATTCAAACAACTATGCATTTTGCACCAAGAAACGGCACTCTGATTTGTGCATGGAAATACCAGTGCACTAATTTGCAAGAAGGGCATCAAAGATATGGTGTCTTTTGTGATTCATGGTTTTTAAATATCTGTAATTGAGTCTAATCACAGTGGATTAGAGAAGGCTGATAGTATTAGCTTGCCTGCAACTTGTCTTGCGGCTTGCCTCTGACACCAGTTTTGACTTTGTCTGAGCAGCAGGGGAACGTTTTCCGGATGCAGCCCCTGAGACTCTGATCTCTAAAGCCGTAGATGAGCGGACTGAGAAAGCGTGGAGTAAGGATGAAACAGAAATAATTAAAAAAGGCAATGTCCTCTGGCAACCAGTTGGTATGCAGCACTATGAGAGTTTCAGTGATCGGATAAGTGAAGGCCAACACACATAGCAGCAGCTGAAAGCCGTGTAGCAGCACAGTGTGCATGGCTTTGTTCACAGACACTTTATCTTGTCTCATTTTCCTGGTTTCCAGCAGGANCGTTAGCTGTTAGCCCTGTTAGCCGTTAGCAGTGTCTGTAATAGGTAATAACTCATTAAACGGTCTGTGAAAAAAATATCTTTTCCAGCGGCTATCTTAGTTACAACATGACTGATCTAGCAAAGCAGTTTTGTGTTGCTATGTGTGGTATTTATTCAGTTTTGGGAAATCACATTGTCTAGAAAGCATCAGTGGCTGCAGCTGTCAGGGACAGCTAACACTAGCAGCAAAGCTAACATCAGGACGTCATCTGTTAAAAGCCTCCCGTTGTCGGATACTACATGAAACTACTCCAGTTAGGTCAATAATGTTGTAACTAAGACATCTGCTAGAAAAAACATTTTCTTCATGGATGAGCACACGTTTGATAAACGGAGTTTAATCTCTCGGCATCCATTTTCAAGCTCTCTGTGTGTTTGTTTCCTTGCGGACTAGAAAAGGAGGAGCGCACATTTCTGAGAAGGCGTGTCGTTTTCAAAAATACAAGAGGCGTTGCTTTGTTGCCGGCCGTTTTTGCCGGTGTGTTAAACACACTTTAGAAAGGAGTGTCCCCAGACTATCAGAAGGCGGATATCTCTGATTGTCTGGTGGCGAGACTAATAGATGCCTAACGGTGGAGACTAATAAGCCAAAGTCTGAGCGCTGGCCTTCATTTGTTGGGATGTGTTTTGAGGATATTGGACGGACAGTCACCTTGTCGTGTCTCAAATACGCAAAGGAACCTCTCTCTTGAGCTGCCGTCACTGCTGGAAGTAGTTATTTCCTTCTTCGCCTTCTTCCTCTTGTTTGAAGAATAAACTATGATCTGTTCACAGGGTTTGAAGCTTTTTTTCCCCCTGTTGTTCAAGCAAGTTTCTATGGAAATCATTGTGCTGCTCTAACAGTTCACATACTTGAGTCATGGTGACATGTTCCTCAGTGTGGTTGTTGGAGACTTTGGGTGTCATGGTTTAGGCCCAAAGTTCAGCAGTAGAAAGTCATAAACCTCCACAAGATGGTAATAATGTCCTCAGTTTTGCTGTAGAGAGTTGGTAAGACTCTTCTTAATTCACTCGGCATTAGACACTACTTTTCACAGACGGTATATGGACCATATCTATTAGTCACACATCTGTTAACTACGTTAATATGGACCTATGTAGGTTCTATTGTTTTTGTCTTTTGCATATTGTTGGACATTATTGACACTTTTGGTCATGACAAAGAGTTGATTTTTACAAAGTTTCTCATGTATTTTGATTTTTTGATATTGCATTTTGTGCTTGATGATTTTCTATCTTTCTATTATACTTAGACTATTTTTCTATTATATCTAGACTATTCGATGTATTATTTATGAATGGTCTGTATTTGTATCTTTGTATTGTTGTCAGTCGGAACCAGCTGGCTTCAGTTAAAAGGGTGACACACCCACAAACCATTTAATGCTGAGGACAGCTATGAGCTGAAACGCGTCCGTTTATCTGCTGTTGTGCAGTTTATTAAATTAAAAGTGTTACACTTATAAGTGAGTGCTGTCAGGTTTTGTACTTTTCTGTGATGTTTTTGGACCGGCACCCTATTACTTTTTTGAGACTTTTTGAGTGAGCACGCCAAGTCTGCTGATTAACATTTTATAATCCCATATTCTTGTAAAATTATACAGTTCATATTTGGCCCCCC